GCCCCAGTGGGGTGCGGTGGTGCTGGGCCCCTGTGGGGAGGCGGGGGGTCCTTGGGGCCGGCGGGGCACCCCAGCCTGCGGGGTGGGGGCTGGGACCTCAGTGGAGTTTGGGAGAGGGGAGCCTTGTGCCTGGGAGAGGAGCGGAGCAAGGAGTGAGTCTCGCTTCTTACAGGGTGGTGGGGAAGGTAGGTCTGAGTGCTGGACGAGGTGGGCAGCCCCTCGGGCATGAGGCAGGGAGTAGATGGAGTGAGGCCAGCTCCTGGGAGATGTGGTGGGAGCCAGGTCCTTGCTTTTACTAGCAGGTCCTTGACCTGTGAGTGGACCTTTCTCAAGGCAGGAGCTGACTCTGCTCTTTGGGGTTGAGTATGTGTCTGCTACATGCGATGAGATGCCAAGAACTGGAAGGTGATCAGGAACGATGGGGTGTCGTCCCATATTTGCTGTTAGGTACCAGAAATATGAAACTCTTCCACACGAGACTGTGCAGAGATGTATTGTTCTGCCTGCATTTGCCTTTGCAGGGCTGGCTCTGCAGTGCTGGGTGTCCCTGTGCTTGGCTATTTTATCAATTCTGCTGGGATTTGCAGAGAAGAGTGCTCAGAACTGTAGTGGAATAGGGGTTTTCTCCTTTTTCCATATGTTTTACCTATGTGGGACTGGCATTCAAAGCCCCAGCAGTAGTTGTCAGCGTCTGCTTGCTAATAATGGCTCAGCATTGGTCTGACAACTTTGCTGTACTACTAGGTTTTTGTGTAGGATCAGTTAAAGTAATACTCAGTCACTAATAATACTGCATTATCAATACAATAAGCATTTTGGAGGGGAACAGAGTTGAAACTTCCTGTCTCTTTTTGCCTTTTTTTTTTTTTTGGTAGACTAGCCTCCATTCCTGTAAAGAAGCAGGTGCCTCTGTGATTAATTCCTGATGCAGTTTTGATTCAAATTGATTGTTTGAATTGCTGAAGATGTCATCAGGCCTTACAGAGGAACAAAAGAGAAGAATTGAAGAGAACCGCCAGAAGGCTTTGGCTAGGAGAGCAGAGAGGCTAGCAGCCCAGAGAACTGGGCAGGTGGGGATCACTGGACCTCAGGTGAAAGAACAGAGTCCAGGCAATTCGGGAAACTTGAAGGAAAAAAACAATCATGTCAGGTTCATTAGCCAGCACCAACAGAATCCAAACAGTCCTGTGGAGCAGAAGAGCTATCTTCAGGAAGATTATAATCATGATACTGCAAACCAACAGATGGCTGGTTCACATGGAGAGCAACAAAAGAATTGTTCAGAGGGCTCGGAACAAGCAAGTGGCATTAAGCAGTTCCCTATAACGATCCCAAATTCTCTGAGTTATTCCCAGAAACATGACTTGGATGCTGGTGGTCAGGGACATGGACAACAAGCTTTAATTAATCTTGGTACATTCCAGCAGCCCAAATGCTACCCAGCTTTCAAAAACCCTACAGAACTGTCTCATCCTAGATTAATTGATAACAGGCACCCTGACGGTAGTAAAAATTTACAAAGTCAGAACAAATCTGCCATAAAATATGTTTCACCACCAAGCAGCGCCACCCCGAGTGATTCAGAAATGCTGATAAACACAAGCAGACCAACGAAAAGAGAAGGGGGAGGTGGTGCGTTTCAGGCCAGTGGTAGGATGCAGATGCAGAAGCTGACCAGTTCTGCTGGTGCAGGCTCTACCTTTGAAGCTGCCTCTTGCAAGAAAGCAAATAGTGTTACAAAAGGAAAATGTGTGAAATATGGGGAAGACCGATTCCAGGTTGAAATAGGGTATAATGCTGAACTCGTTGCTGTGTTTAAGAAGATACCAAGCAAAAGCTATGGTAAGAATTGATTGATTGCTGTTATCTCTGTTTTACGTTTGATCGAAGTTTCAGTGCCTGCTGGAACTGTAGTTGCTATATGCTCTTAGCAGTGCAGCTATTGCTGGGGTGGAATATGTGGTATTAATGGGGGATTGGAAAAGTAAAGACAGCTGATATTGGAAAGAAATTCTGGGCATAAATAGCTTAGGCTTAGATTTAGCCAAGGAATGAGAAGCCCTGCTTTATGTGCTTTAAGAAGTTTAGTGATGGCAGCTGGTCAGAGTCTTTTGGGAGTGAAGGAAGAGAAGTTGTTCATAAATTGGTATGGGAAAATGGGTCACTTCAGCAGTAGTTTAGAGTTGATGAGCTGATTCTGTTAACTGGGTTACTGAGAGCAGTGGAGTCTCCACCTTTTGGCTTGCTTCTGATCTTTTCTCCCTGCCAAGGGAGAAAACAAATAAATATAACAAATATAACAATATAACAAATAAATTGTTATATTCTACTGTTGTTTCCCTCCCATGTGTTGCTGTGTCCTGTGAATGGCTGCTGCATTCTTCTTGTCTTAGTATTGATGTACCCTATGACTTTTTTGGTGTCATGTAGCTGTAAACTTGGGCATACTGTTTTTCAGATGTGTGTCAAAAAGTTTGCATGAGTAGACTGAATTCTTTCTTACCTCGCATGAACATTTCACAACAGCACTTTTGATCACAAATGATTCGTGTTCTGCCATATTTTAGATGCTGCTATGAAAAAATGGAATTTCAGCCTGGAAGATTACAGCAGTTTCAGTAAGTAAATGGGTTGTTGAATGATAAAAAAGAATCCAAATCTTGACCCCCTTTCCTGCCTTCCATAATTATTATTTAGCTTTGTTATTGTCTGGAGTAATAAAAGTAGTGCTACTCAAACATAACACCCATCTTTTAGGCATCTAGCTCATAATATTTTTCTGACATTTTGTAGTTGATTAGAAATAACACAACTTTTCACGTAATCTAAATTCCAAGCATAGGTTTAACTTTTTCTGCCATTGCTGAAATTTTCAGCAACTGACAAGCCTGATCATAGGAAAAATATCTGCTGTGCAGGCACTTCATATGAGTCTGTATTGAGAACTGAGTGTGTCCCACTGGCTAATGCTTAATTTCTAGGTCTGTTCATGTATTTTCTTTTTAAACAGCTTTTTTCTTTTTTTTTTTTTAACATTTTTTCCTGTTAATTTTGGGTGTCAGAAAAGGAAAAAGGGTAATTCTCTAGGGCTTTGAGTGAGACTGAAAATGGATTTGCCTTTTTTGGCATAACAAGGATGGCTTTATCTTTTTTTCTCTCCTGTCATTTTGTTCTGGAAAGATTGAGAGATGATAGAGGCAAACACTTCAGGTAAGCTTTTCAAAAGCACGTTGTATTGAAGCAAGTGATAAATCACTATTGATTTCAGTGGGAACAGAATTAGACCTGTGTTGAGCACTTTGAAAAACCCACAGTTGAGTGCTGGTATTTTAGCTTCCCATGTGGGTTGCCACGCATTTATAATTTAAATGCTGCTGGTTTGCTTGAACTGTATCAAGTACAGATGAGAGCAGAGTCTCTGCACCAAGGAGCTTGCAAATGAAGAGGATGGCTTTTAGAAATCAGGCTGTTTTCCTTAAAGCTATCAAATATATGAGTTCTCTGTGGAAAGTCCCTGTGGACAAGGGAAGACAATATGTGATCAACATTGGACAATGATAGCAGGGGAAAAAAATACCCTGAGAAAAGGGAACTGACTTAAAAGGGTCTTGGTTTGAAGTCTTGTAAGAGTAAAAACAATTATTTTAAAACTTCCCACTGTTAATTTTGTTCTTCTGAATTACGTTTCTTTCTTTGTACTATAAATTAAACATGCAGTCAAGCCTAGAAACAGATACTGAAATAAGAGAGTCAAGTATGGTCGTTTTTTTTCAATTTCTTTCAGTATTGGTTGTAGAGATGAGCTCTAACTATGCAATGCTAAAACAGTAGCATCTAAACTCTTTTCCTTGGTGCATTGGGAGGAAAAAGTCTAAATTGGTGGTTTCCTGGTTCTCTACTTTACAAATTACTTTCACTTGATGCTCTTAAACTTTTTCTTTGGAGTGGAAATCTGAAATGCTTGGGTTTATTCTGGAAGTCACTTATTTTAAAATAAAGGTAGATTAAATCCAAATGGCTTACTAACTGATTAGGAAGAAAGTGTCTGAATTTGTTTCTTTTTCCCTTTTTTTCCCCTTCTCAAATCTTAACCACTGAACTTAAATTTGTTTAAGTTGTTGTTGCATATCAGTAAGTTGGACTATTTAAAAAGAAGCAGGATGGATCATGATGTGCAGCTTAACCCTCAAAGGACTAGATTCACCTGGGTTTACTCTAAACAGCTACTGGATAGGGGAGGTTGTCTCTCTTTACAAATACATGGAGGCAGAATGTGCTTAGTGGTCCCCTGCTCTTGAGTCTAATGGACTCTGAAGATGCTAGTGAATCCTTGTGTTACTGTAGTACCTACGAGTTGGAGTCTTGGGGATGAAATTCATTATTTTGGTGCTGTAAAAATACAAGAAAAAATGGTTCTTGTTCCTTAACCATCACAGTTCAGCTATAATAATAAAGACAACATATGGGTATAGATTGGCAGAGAGAGACAGGGAAAAGTGGAATGTTTATTAGTGTGGATAGCTGTGGTCTCAGGCTAACAGCTGTAAAACGCTGTGTCCCTTTTCTCCCCGTGCCCTACCATCATGACAGAGGTGGTTGCTGGTGATTAGTAAGATAGGAGTGCAGATGGCTGGGGGAAAGTACAAGTCTAACTGTAACACACGGTAGAATGTGCTTTGGTGGTGGACTTAAATTGTAACAAAGAGATTTAGGCGTTTGGACTAGATTCCTTCCTGATACCCTTCTACAGTATTGTGAATATACAGCATTCCTCCTAGCTGAGATTGCATATCAGACATGGACATGAGGCAGGAGGCAGATATTTTTAGATCTTTCTCCTTTGCTGTTTGCAGAAGTACCTCCCCATCTTTTCAGGCGCATACTATCGATCACCATGCCCCTGTCCCTGCAACTTTGTAAGTGAAAATGCTGTATGACTGTGTGCAGTTTACTGCTGAATGTGGTTCTGCAGATTGCCTGCCCTGGCCTAGTGAGCTGTGTTTTGGGATTGCTGACAGAGATGGAGCCTAATGCAGTGACAACGCTGGACAGGCCCTTGTTCACCTGCTGTCACATGTTCCCTGTGCCCCTGCTGTATTCTCTGTGGAAAATCCCACCAATCTGCTCCTCCAGGCCATCGCTCTCTCTATTCTTTGCCCCTGTGAGTGAAAGCAGGGAATCATCATTCCTTTTAAACTTGAAGGTGCATGGTTTGTTTGTCATCCTCTTGTCCCTTCTCTTCTGAAAGCATCCTGTACATCTTTAGTTTATCTGTGTTCTTTGTTATTAATTCTTTTCTCTGTGTCCCATGCTTTTCTCCCTAGTGGAAGCAGCAAATCAACTTTCGTCAGTAATTCTGGCACCACTGGAAGGAGAAAGTGTGGCTGGCTTGGCATCAGGCTCTCATTTTGTTGGCAGTAGGGTTGATGTGAATTCCCTCCTGAAGATGTGTAAGAACTGGAAGAAACCCTCAGCCCTTGTCAAAGGGAAGTGTGTGCTGATCTCTCGCTTGCGGTTTGAGGTTGATATTGGGTATTCTGCAGAAGTGATTGGAGTGTTCAAACAAATGGATTCCAGAAATTATGGTGAGTCTCTGGTTATTTCTGCTTTATTCTAATGACATTGTTGGGGCTGCTCTTGGAGTGCTCTGAATGCTTCGGAGGAGAGAAATTGTGAGAGTACATCCATCTGAAATAGCATGAGAGGATGTACTTTGGTGAAGATTTTGAGAACTCCTGTAGTTCTGGTATAGTGCTGTATCTGCATCCTGCTCTCTACTCTGTGCCAGAACATGTCTTCTTCTGGGCCTATTAGCCAAGGTGGTGTTTCAGGACTCAGCATGATTACATTTACTGTTGAGGTGGGATGCGCTGACAATTTGCCAGCAGTATGGAGGCCATGCATAAGTTCTTGTCTTTATTATCAAATGCAGTTGGACATTCTCATATTTCTCCTGCTTTACAGGGGTGTATAATGGCTGCAAGTGCCTGAGCAGATTGAGTTTACCAGCAGCTTTACTGATGTTTTTGAGGCAAGTGGAACTGTAGAGCACTTTTTATGTTGGCATTCAGATTTCAATGGTAAATACCAGTTTTTCCCACTTGTAATGTGGGAAATGAGGCACAGAGTGATGAGGTGACCTGTGCAGTGTCACAGCAGGTCAATGATAGCATGGGGAACAAATCCTGGAGCTCTTGTTCTTTGGGTAGGGCCCCACCTGGCTCATTGTGTCTTCGGCTGACTCTGAATTCACTCTAACCTTCCCTGGAAGTTGTAGGCAGGTGCTACCCAGGGATAAACCTGCCAGACAAGTCTGGCATTCATGTTACATTTTGGGTATTGATGAACTGGGGAATTTCCTCTGTACCATCCTGAGCACATCATCTGTAGGGTACAGAGGTACAATTGAAAGCGATTGTGTTACTGACTGAAGTCAGAGTTTGTTGGTTGACAAATAGGAACCTTCATGCACATTCTTCATCCCTTCTTGCAGTGAAGAGAAAGTGGTTGCTGAAATCCTTGAGCAGGTGAGTTCATTGCACTGGTTCATTAGGGGTGCTGACCTCATTACAGTGGTTCATTAGGGGAGCTGACCTTGGCTTGCTCCGGTGATACCACCACTTCTAGATGTGTGCTCATACTTTTAAGTCGTCTTCAAACTGTTTGCTTAACGTGAAAGCAAACAGGAGAATTGATTGCTGGACAAGGTAAGAATTCTTTTAAAGCAGTTCTGAAATGCAGAGGATATGGATGGATAGCCATGTTCTTATGGGCAGAGAATTCAGTCTTTTAAAAAAGAGACTTATGACAGTGTTTGTTGTAACTATTGCAGATATTAACACCAGAAAGTGGAATTTCCTGCTGGAGGACTATCCTAAACTAAGTGAGTAGCTGTGTTTTCCTGGCTAGGGCTATTTTCTGGGGAGGCAAATGAATTCTATCTTCATTTCTTGGGCTAAGCCTTTGCACTCTGGAGAGATAAGTTGCTAACGAACTGCGAAGCAGGTGTCTTCCTGTTTTTTTCAGACATTTACACTGTTTGCCCAGATTCAAAATTTTATAAATGTGTGTTATTCATGGCAGTCCTTTAGGGGCCCATTGGGAGGGTGGCTTTGTTTTGTCAGATTCTGCAGTGGATTTCTGTACCATTTCTTAGAGCACGTGGATGTATTTACTATCACAAAGTTATTTTTATTGCTTATAACGTACAGCAGCTCTACTTGAACTAAGGAGTTGCAGGAGAATGGATTCCTCTGTTCCCACTTGCCAAATTTGAAGAGGTTGGCATGGTGGCTGCCCGGCCTTCCTGTCCTTACAGAAATTCTGTCTTACTGACTCTTTTTAGCTGTGCTCCCCTTGTCCTCAGTGCAGCCTGCCTGCCCTTTTGTGTGTATATCAATTTGTAAACTGGCACAGCCACCCCTTGCTTAGAAAAAAACCACATAACAGGCTGGTTTACTTCCAATTCTTTAAGTAGTGTGCACGGTGTTGTGCTTTTTCATTTCACACCCAGCAAATTTTGTTTTTCAGGTCAGAGCGCTAGCTTTTCGGGTCAACTGGTGATTTTTGTAACAACCAGTTCATCCACAGTTACAGTCTGTGTGGTGACTGTCTAGCTGATTTTGTTCAGCCTCATGTGTTACTGCTAGTAATAATGGCTTTGCAGGCAGCACACAACTGTTAAGTTTTTAATTGATGTATGAGGCAGGTTGCAATTCAGGTTGCTTCCATAGCTGAGTTGATTGTGAGGCAACCAAGAACTACTTGTTTCTCTTGCAGAAGTGTGCAGATCTGCTTGAAGCAGAAGCATTCCCCTTGAAGCAGAATTTCATAGTCAGTAAAATGCTTCGGTTCTGGTTTATGGATGCTTAAAAGAAAGCTTAGCAAAAAAAAATCTTTTTGAGAGCATCGTATTTTCCCTTGCAAGTGGAATCTAAGCACATAGTGTCGCTACGATGTTCATTTCTTGGGAGAAGTTGACCAGTAGACTCCTGCCTTTATGCATCTGTGTAATGCTGGTGAAACTGTGACTCACTGAACTGAAATGTAGAACTGTGGTTTGTTGTGTTTTGTTGTTGTTTTTTTTTAAATGGGTGCCACTTTGCAAAATAATCCAGTCTCAGCAGCATGCTCCTAGCACATCTGCTTCTCAGTTTTTTATGTTTAGTTAAGTTTATAGAGTGCTTTGAGATGAATAGCATTACGCAAGTCCTAAGTATTATAATTATTAGTTATCATCCCAGTCGGTCTGCTGTGTTTGCCTTGGTACTCGTGTGAGGGTATGTGGCTGTGGAATTTGATTGGGCTAAGCTTCAGAAAGATAATAAGTAAGGTGCTTTACACATGTCCTTAGAAAGTGTGACTGAGCACTTCAGAGCTGAAATGCTGTTGCTCAGAGTAGTTTTTCTCCAGCATGGGCTCCTGCTTCCATGGGATACCGAAGTACATGAGTATCTGCATGCTCCTATGATGCATGTCTTAATAACATTAGTAATGGTTGTAGGGCTGAAAGCCACATTGTGGGGCCTTGTAGGAACGCCAGATCATGAAAACAAGTGTGTCTTGGGAGAGATTATTATGAAACTCCAGGATTGGGATGTTGACAGGCCCTGATTTCAATGAGAGCTGATGATCTCTCTCAGTTTGCTAAAAGGGCCTTTTGTACGTGCAAAGGGCCTGATCCTGAGCACGTGCAAGGCAATCTGAGCAAACATATCATCTCCCAGCCTGTCACACTCTCAGCTACGCTGGCTGGCAGTTGTATACATCTCATGAAGTATTCAGAATCCCACAGATTTAAGGAAAGCAAAAAAAAATTTCTCCGTGAATGTTTTTGCAGGGTGTAATTTGTAAGGGCATTTGAGGCTTCTCACACATGCCTTTTTGAGGAACAGCATTTGCTTTGTGCCTGTTCATTTACCTATGTCAAAATAAAGAAAAAAAGAATTTTAAAAGGCTGGTTGCCATTTCCAGCAGAGATATCTGTTAGCTGGGAACTGTTTATAGAGGCTAAGGTCTCTTTGCCTAGTTGCTCAGTCATCTTTATATAAAGGTCACTTCAGTAAAAAATGTCTGTTGGATGAATCATGCTGGTGGCAGATATATCTTAATCACTCTCCCAGCTCATGTACAGAACAATAGCAACAGAATTATCAGTGAGCAAATTGTAGCAATTATGCTAACACATAGCTCAGTCTGTGAGTGTAATAACAAGCTTGTGCTGTACTTCGGGTGGAGAGAGTTCCTGCTATTGAAGAAGTATAAATTAAACTGGAGAGTTTAAAAAGTTTGGTCATTGCCTAGCCACAAATGGAAATCTTTTCATATGTATATTTCTTGGAATTGCTTTCCCCCTTCATATGGCAGGGATCCATTCTGCTGCTTTCCTCTTGGAGATAACTGAAATGAAAATACCTAACTGAATTCTGGAGGTGCATTTACTGCTGGTATAGTGAGTTCTCATTTGAGTTTGCATAGCTCTGGTTATTTTTGCAAACAGAGTTGTTTTATGTCTTCCTGACTTCATATACAAACCAACCACTAAATAAAAAAAAAAGATGCTTCCTGCAGCAAAAGATCTGTGCACATGCATTGTGTTCTTAGTGTAGATTGTTTCTTGTTTCTCGGTCAGTGGTCAAAGATTGATTACTAAACATGTTTTCCTGGTCCCAGCTCACTGCATGTTTTAAACTGGTATTTGTTTTCATAGAAACTTACTGTTGGACTAAAAAGAAATACTTTTATCTTTTGGGGATGGGATAGAGAGGCTACTGGAGGAGACTGAAATAAGGTTGTCTAGGAGAATTGCCCTGACGCTTTGCTTGTTGTGATGCATGGGTTGAAAAGATGAAGGCCCTGAGGTCTTTGCATAATGGAGGCTGGGGATGCCTTTAGTTTGACTAGGAAGGTTTTAAGCTGCAGGTAAAGTTGAGAGGGTTCATGGGTGAAACTACAGCAGTGGGGAGGGACTCAAGTGGCTGCCTGTGGGCTGTCTCTGGCCCGCAAGCTACTTCTGTCCAGGAGAAGAGCAGTGGACGCCAGCTGAGCAGGGAGTTGCTGTTGGTACCAAGTCCCTGAAGGATGTCTGTCAGAGTGCTGCTGATGGTGGTACAAGAGCAGTTTCTCTAGTCTTGAGGTGGTTCCTGTTTTCTTATCCAAACATGGTAAACAAGGGGTGATAAAGTGGAGACAAAGCCAAACCTGTGTGAATTTGAGGAACGGGAGGAGTAGAGAGTTTTGAAAGCGGAAGATGTATGATCATCTTTAGGTAACTATGTCTTAGGTCACTCCTGATCACTCAGGGATGGTGGAGACCTGAGAGGTGTTTAATGCAGAATGCCAAGGTTGATATAAAGATGCCCCTGCCTTCTAAGCTTCAGGAGCTCTTTTGTTCAAATCCATGCTTTTATTTCTGAGTAAAGTGTGCCCTAAGCTGCCCTCAGTATGAATAATCCAGCTCCAGCTGTATTAGTAGCACTCATCTCTGAATGATCAGACTTCCAGTTTTTTATAACCAAATCTAAATACGAGGGGAGGAGATGTGATTCATCATGTGGTTCTGAAATAGACTTCAGGGAAGAGGCCAGGCCAACACCTGTGCATGATGCAGTGCTTTCTTGAGCTGTTTCAGGGTAGGAAATAATATTGTTAATGAGGTTGAGGGTTGTGCCCTGACATCCATAATGTAAGTTGCGTGTATGTTGCCCCTTCTGATAATAAACTGTTCTGTTCTTTGCAGTGGAAGTGTTACAGAGCCTTGTGTCAGTAGAAGTGGAGCCACTGCCCGAGGCAGTAATACAAACCTTTGCTGCTCGAATACAGAGATCTACATCACAGACAGACATTCCTGATGCTGACCTTTCAGTAGTGGACTCCAAAATTGTGACGAGCCTCATGCCCTTTCAGCGGGAAGGTGTGAAGTATGTCCTTTTTGCATGCTGTTAAGAGCTAGTCTTTGCCTAGAATTGTGTACTTTGTATTGGTGCCCGGGCTGCATTCTCTTCCATGGAGGGCTCCATGTTTCTCCAGAGTCTTGGGCTGTTACACTCTGGTACTCTGGGCTCTTGGTTGTTTGGTATGCTATGGTTTGTTTTGTTGGGTGGGTTTTTTTTGTGGATTTTTTTTTTTTGAGTGACACATCTATCCTGTTTCTGGCTAGAATTCTTCATCATGAGTCAGGAGGAAAGTAGCATTTTGCTAGTCTCATAAAATTGTTTGAATGATACATCTCTGATCTCCCTCTTGTGATTCAGTATGTGCCTAATTGTCATATGATTTTTTTATTTTGTAAGGTCATCTTTTTTTCCCCCAAGTGCATCTCTGTTGTTTTTGTTGTTGTTTTTTAAATATTAACCACACATGGGAAACTTCCAGGCCCTGAAAGATTTAAAATGACTAATTGTATGTAGAGATAGACTTTTAAATGTCCCTGTCCCCATCATATATGGTCATTAGTTGTTGACTTGAAGATGTAGTCCAGGAAAGTCTGTACTTACTGGTGTTAAGGTGGCATTGTTATTAATAATATTTTCTTAGCTCAGCCAGGATGAACTCTGGGACAGAATGTGAATAATATCATGGAAAGAATGTGCTTTAAATAATTGTAAGGTCTTGAAACTACTCCTCATATGAAATCAAACTCTCTAAGGACTGGGCTGAACCACTCTGTTCAGGAGCTTCCAAGCTTTGAGAGATTTGTGAGAGTTGCTCGCTTGTGTTAAGACTAAGGGAGAAGATCCAGGTTTACTGAAGAACCCAGATCACTTCCACGTGATCCACATTATAGGCTTGGTGATAAGTTGTGCTCATCTTGGTTGCCAGGACAGATAGTAAGCCATTTCTTGACTCTTACTTATTTCCCCTCTCTATTTTCCCCAGTTTCGCAATTTTAAGAAATGGACGTTTACTTCTTGCGGATGACATGGGCTTGGGCAAGACCATCCAGGCGATCTGCATTGCTGCATATTACCGAAAGGAATGGCCCTTGCTGGTGGTGACTCCTTCTTCTGTGAGGTTTACATGGGCAGAGGTACTGTGAACTTGAGCATGTGCAGGTGGCCAGTAGAGGGCATGTGTGATGGTTATGCTGTGTTGTACTCTGTACAAGTTAAAATTTTAAAAAGATGTGTATTAAGGGGACGAAACTAAAATTTGTATTCATTTAGAAACTTGGGGTGTGTGTGGAAATTGCCTGGCATTGCCTGTATGATATATGCCTGTTTTCTTTGATTGGTCGCTTTTCTTTTTGTGGTCCAGTTGATCTATTGGAAAAAGGGAGATCTAGAGAAAATACCTCCTCTGACCCTCTGTTAACTTTGTTCCTGCAAGTCAGCTGGCTCCAAGGGGGCGTTATACTCATTGGTGTCAAAGACAATAGTTGCATTCAAGCAATTGTCTGTTGTATTCAAGCCCTTCATAGCAGTATTTGCCAGTCCCTTGGCTGGAATAGAAGCCCAGATGCTGGGATTCTCCGCTCTGTTCAGGAGGCCCCGTTATCATTGTTAAGTGTCTGTCATAATATGTCTTTTGGCCTGTCCACTGTATGCTGCTGACTCCTTTGAGTCCTTCATTAATCTTGATCAGAAGCCAAAGAAAGCTTGTATGGTTGGGAAACGTATCTTGAAATAAACCACTGTCATAGCTTGTACACTGAGGTTGTTGGGTTGCCATAGGCTAGTGAAATGTTCACTGTGGGAGAAAAAGGTGAGCCAGAGGTTTCAGGTCAGTAATTTCATGCCTGAGCAGGAGAGAGTGGGAGTTTAGCTTTCCCTGGAATGTTGCATTGATGAGAAGTGTATTGGTTGGGATTTGCTGGTTTTGTGCTGTAACTGGTTTGTTAGAGCATCTTGGCTTGTGTTTTCACGTCCAGTAGTGCAACAAAATGTTGGGTGACAAGAAAAGAAAATTGTTTACTGGACAAGGGAGTGATGCTCATCATGTTTGATATTTCAAAGGCCTGTAGACCTCTGGGTCAACACCTAACCTGAATCCATGGCTTCTGTGGGATACCTACTGGGAACAATTAGGGGCCTGGTTTCCTGAAGTACTGGGCACCTGCAGCTAAACTCCTACATCCTGCTTCATGAGATTTGAGCAATATGAGGTGGCTGGTTTTTTTTTTTTTCCTTTTGAGTGCTTGATTTCCTCTTCCTTCCCCTGACTCCCCAGGAGGCTGTTGTGGGAGATGTTTTGTTACGACATGTGCTTTAGAATGATCTGTGTTGCTTTGTGGGTATGTGAAGGATAGAGGTCTAAGAAAAAATGTGTCACAGAAAGTGGAAGAAGGTGGAGTTTATTATGGTCTGTGATCTACTCGGTTCATTCTTGCACAGATGTATTTTACTGTAATGGTAGAAGCTTTTGTGGTGTCCCCAGAGCTGAATTGCAAGAAATTGTCTTCATCTTAGAGTTGTGAGTGTTTTATTTTGGCTTTCTGGGCTCAGGCCACTGAATGCCTTTATATTCAAGGTGCTAAAGGAAGCTAGCAGGAAGATGCAAGGTACACTTGGGTGAGAAGTACTGCAACCATGTGCCTTTGGAGTTCAGCATTGAAACTTAAATAATTAATGGTCAGGGCAGTTTCAAAGCACTTCTTGTAGACAATGGTCAGCTTCAAGTGAGAAATATAGGATCACTTTTACAGTGTGAATTAGTCACATGCCCTTTATAAAAGGAGAGGGCAATACAGCTAGGAGCTTCCAGGTACTTTCCCACTGCTGCCACCTTTGTCTAAGTTCTGGCACAGCATCAGCCACATATTTGTTGTTTGGGATTTAACCTTGCCGGCATGTTGGCCCATTTTGGTTGTAATGCAATTACATAAGTGGTGAAGGATAGTTAATTGTTAGTTTCTCACATACTGAGAAATGTGAGAAGCTCACATTTAATTCCTCTGGCTGCTGCATGTGGTTGCTGAACAGAGGAGAGGGCTGAGGCTTGGGGCATTTCCACAAGTGAAGGGCCTAGAGGCAGAGATGCCATTTCCCATCACCACTCCTTGGATACATTTCTGTAGGGACTAGATCCTGATTGCTAAAGCCCCAGCCAGTTCTCTGCAGAGCAACATCAGCAGAACTCAAATGTTGCAGAGAGGTTGGTGTCATTGGGGACACAATTACAAGGGAGATGGTGGGTGCTCAGTAGCTAACAGATGGGTTTGGGGGAGGATATCTTGCTCTGGTGTGTGGAGCTTTTCAAGAGGTTGATTTGAATGACTATCACCACATGTATTTCAGCTGCTGTCATAGAGCAGCTGGTGTGTTGTCAACTTGATCATTTCTTTTTGTTTGTTTGGTTGGGTTTTTTTTTTGTAGACTTTTTAAGAAGGTGAGGTAGTGGAAGAGTTTTTGTTGACCTGGATGAGTTGTACTTCATCCTCATTGTGGAGTAAACATTGCTATAGTGAGAGATGTTTACTGTTTAGAAGTCTCTTTCACAGCCTGAGGGTTTCTGTTGAGTGGGAAAATTAAATTTCCATGTCAGTAGTGGTCACTGCGTTCTCTGGCTCTGATCATAGCAGGTAACATTGTCAGGAGGTTATGCACATCTCTACTACAGATCAGATTTTTTTTTCCAGTAAGAAGCAAGAATAGAGCATGTTTGAGCCTTCCTAGCTGTGGAAGGTAGATTTGGCCTTATAGCCTGAGTTCTGTTCTTGATCTTCCCATTACTAGGGTTGTTGCCTTGGGAAGACTGCTTGCCCTTTCTGTGCTCCCAGCTGATGTCTAATGGCGGGTGGGGTGGCTCCATGTTCTAAGCATTCATGAGGATGCTCTGTGAAGTGCTTTGGGATCCCAACAGAGGACATAAGCACCAGAATAAAATTAATTGCTTTCATCTTCCTCCAGGCATTTCACAGGTGGCTTCCATCCTTGAGTCCAGGTAGCATCAATGTCATAGTGACTGGCAAAGACAACCTAACAGCAAGCTTGATCAACATCATCAGCTTTGACCTCCTCAGCAAGATGGACAAGCAGCTTAGGAGCACTTTTCAAGTAGTTATTATTGTAAGTGGTACACTAAAATTTTGAAGTTAATTGTATGCTGCAAATGGGGTAACCTTTGTGTTGTACAGCAGTGTGGAGTGGGCCTTACTTAGGACTGAAACTATCTTGTAATCATGGCTGTGATCACAGCTCTCTTCATGAGTAGAAGCAGGAGTTTCTCTGAAACCTTTTGAGGTAACTAGTAGAGTTTAATTCCTTTTTGATTCCTGAGGCTGTGTTTTCTCTTTTACTGGTTATGGTGCCTCTCTGATTTCATTGTGGTTGGGCATGTCCTCTGTTGGAGAGCAAGGTGTTTAATGTAGTGTGTCAATACAATAGTCTTGGAACAGTATCTTTTTAAGGGGTCTGGACTTCAAGGTGGTGTTAGTGTTTATCCAGTAAACCAGATAACCTCTCAACATCAAGTATGTGGGTAAAGCATAAAAAAAAAATCTCCCTTTGCTTGTGTTCCGCTGACAATCTGCATTAAGACTTCTTTGAACACTTGTATCATTTCTTTTGTATATTACTTAGAAATCCATTTTTTAACCTTCTACAGAGCTGTGGTAAAAGGCATTTTTCTAGATTTCAGTTACTAAAAATTCAAAACATCTAGTGTTTCAAATCCAGCTTGGATCAATAGAGACCAAAAGTGTCTACATAGCTTACTATGAATGTTTGATGTTCTCAGTCTAGTTTTCAGCACACATATGCACCTGTCCCTAAGATCATGACAATAGGAACATAATAATCCTTTTGTTTCTCAGCATCAGATGGGAACGTGGGAATAGGTGGAGTTCTTTGGAGACCAAACTACTCATGGGGGAATTGATTTTTTTCATTTTTTTTTCCCTGCCCCCTCTCTGACAAGCCGTTCTGTCAGGGTGGAATTGCAGATTGTTACTTTTGTATGCTGGTGCCTGGAGCAAAGGGACTTGGGCTCTAGGGCTACTGCCCTGGAACCTTTTACCAGCCCTGAGCTGGCAGATGTTCTTTCTGTGTGTTTACAGGGTCCAAATTTGAACATATATATGTTTTTACAGATGAGAGTAGTCCTACTGAGTGCTGAGCTTCCCTGCTTTTTCTTCCAATCTTCTTTTGATGGCTGGGAACATTAATGTAGTTTATTTGTTAATCAGGAAGAGAATGCTGTGCCTGAGAGGCTAAGCAGTTGTATTGTCTTTGTATGCATGGTTGCTTGCTCATCCACACGTGGAAAGATGAGAATGTGCCCTTGGAGGGCGCCGATTACTTTTTGTGTCTAAATTCTGCCTTGCTACAGCAGTAGAAATGAAGCCTGTTTGGGGGTGATGTCTCAAGTAGGAGGCTATTATCCACCTGGTGAGTCCTATCAGCAGAGCAGTTGGATCCTAATTGGATTTCTTTTTTTCCTTATTGTTTTCATTAACCCCTTATTTAGGGAATTGGCACTGTATAGGCCTCCTATGTTTGCTGCATTTAAAGAACATATAGGGGCAAATGAGTATCGGTGGTGGAAATAAAGTTCCTCTTCCTCCTTTCCTCTCCAGCCCCCTCTGCTCACTTGTTTGTGGTCGTTTGAGATTCATGGCTTTAAGGTTTGATTTCTGTTCTATTTGCTTACAGCTGCAGGTTTGAACGTAGGAAGCCTGCTACTTTCCATGCTGTCTTTTCGTTTAGAATTTGATGTGACTATCTAAGTGCTTGAAATACCCTCTGGGATGATAGGCTTGTAATATTAGATAGGTGAGAATACTGGGAATTTGTTCTGTAGCCTGCAGTTGGACTATCGATCAGAACTGTCTTCACTTTCATGCTTGTTTTGTTTCAGGATGAATCTCATTTCCTAAAGAACATAAAAACTGCACGATGCCGAGCTGCCATGCCTCTACTCAAGGTGCGTATGCTGGGTGCCAGACCTCCAGCAGCTAAGGTCAGGCTCCCAAAGCAGTGTTGCTCCGTTTACCGGGTTTTGGAGCCAGCAGCTGAATTCTGTTGTTGTGCAAGTGGAAATCCAGATAACGTTGTAGATCCAAGGACAAAATTTGTCTCTGGCTTAGCCACTTGTTTCCATACAAATGTTAGATGGTTAAGACCTAACAAAAGAACTTCAGAAGCTCCCTTGATCTAATTGTGGTACTGCCACTGATGAATTTTATGGTGATGGGAAAAAGGGAATGTCAAAACTTACTCAATGTATTCAGGGAGAGTAGAAAGAATATAGTAGTGTCAACATAGCTTGTTTAAGGGAAATAATCATTATCAGTTACTTCTTGGCACACAAATCGCTGCTGTATATCAAAATTACATTACCTACGTCCCTTCCTTGGCTTTGGTTTTGGGCTCTACTCTGTTACTGCAAGCTTCCAATGTATTTGTGTGGCTGGGGTTCAGGAGCACTCCTGCTGGTTAAATGTACAGCACTAGTAGGAAATGGCAGAATGTGAGGTTAGCAAGACAAGTGGCCCACAGAAAGGAGGCAATATTTAAGTATGCGATAGCAGGAGTAATGTAACTTCTAATGTGTTCCTGTTGTCCTGGGATCAAAGAATCAGACTCTCCCTGGTAGCCTCTAAAAGTTACAAGTAGTTTCTAGACACTGCAGAGTCTGTACGTTAGAACAAGGTAACTGCAGTTCCTCTTCAGCAATTATCAGCAAGTGTGTATAAAGAGAAGATTTGATCTGTGATGGCTTTATAGCAACCAACTTTTATATGCAAGATTCTTAATGGCAAGCCGAAGGTGATTGTCCTTGAATAACTTCATTGTTCTCTTTAAAGGCCTGACTCTTGTCTTCTGTTGCCTTTCAAATCACTTCAGGCTTTTAATGTTTGGAAACTACGTAGGAGGTACAATTTTATGAGCAGTTTGAAGTACAATAATTAGGGTGTATGTCTGAAAATGGTGGAAAATAACAAATTTACCTCATTGCAAAATGCTCGAAAAACGGTCTCATCCTTTCCTACTTGTAGCTTTGTAAGGATCAGCTTGTCAAAATTATTTGCAGGCTACAAGATACGAGAGTGAAAGATGGTAGCTGTTAAGTGGAGGTTAATTGCCTGTATGAACTTACTGAGAATTTACAGTTTTATGCTGTCACATCACTGGTCTTAGAGAATTGAGAACTGGTGCTTCTGAAACTGAATTTCAGTCTTCTGAAAGTATTAAGAGCTTCATGTTCGTATCATGCATTATCTCACCTGCAAACAGCATACAGTACCAGATGTTTCATGTTAGATGTTCAGGTAAGTTTTATTGTCCTGCTTGCTGTCTATAACTTCTGAAGCGAGTATTTGCTGTAATAGCCACGCTTCTGCCCTCCTTGCTTTCCAGCACAGCGTTTTGCTCTAAAACTAGCCCCTTTGGCAGCTTTGTCTTCAACTACTAGTGAGTGGTGCTGTGTTCACTACTGGCACAGCACACTACAACAATGCTTTTGTATTTGAAAAAACTGCCAAAATATGAGGAGTTTTCATCACTTGAATATTGGATTTAACAACTGTATCGTGTCATCTTTATAGTAAATAGTCAATGGGGTAAAAATGGGAGTATTTTCAATATTTTACATGATACTTTGAGATTATTGAGTAAGAGACATTGATAAACATGCTGCTGAGGGTAATATTCTTGCTCTTGCCTTTTTGTGTTGAAAGGTTTAGTGCAGTACTGGGACTCTTAGAAGAGACCAAAAAAAGCTGTATCCATAGGCAAGCCCTTGATAAGTACACTGCTTCTAGCACCTCAGTCCCTACCTTAAGGTCACAGTGTGAAGCCATGCCAGTGCTGTAACAAGAGCCCCTGGAGCCAACTCATGCCTTGTCTACCTTCTAAGCGTTGCCGCTTCTAACTGTTGTTAGCATTATACTACTTCAAACTTTCTGAAATTACCATAGTTGCTTGTATTTCCTACGAGGTTCTGAACATCCTAAAGCATGAAAGCTTAGCCTCGATCTGACTTTTGGGGACAGAAAAGAAAAAAAATTTCGAAGAAATGTGATCCTTGGTCCTTACATGCTACAAAGATTTATGAGTCCGTAATGATACTGGACAGGTCTAAGTTAAAATGTTTCTGAGCCTGAAATGTTTCTGTCATTTCCATCTGTACTTAATGGATTCTTTTTATCTTGATAGAATCTGCTCCTGTGACTTCTCCATTTGAATAATAAGTAAAATATAAAAATTGTTGCGAGTATTTAGACAGAACTGCACAATAATCAGATTAAATCAGTACATTCGTAATAAAGATGACTTACCTTGGATAATAATTTTGAATCTGCCTTGTTAGATAGCCAAGCTGAATCTCCACCTCTGAAATATTTAACCCATGGTTACAGCATTTAAAGCCTCATTTTAGTTTTAATATATGACATTGACTGGTTTTCAAAATGAAGTGGTATTTTTAGCCACTCAGTAATAATTCATCTTTTCCTGCTGTCTTGTATATATTGTGGAGCAGGTGTGGTATGGAATTATCAAGCAGAACTATGTATTAAACATGTGGCCCAAGTTTGTCAGTTGGGAACTTCTAGACGTTTTTTTAATATTAAAAAACCACCACAAACTCTGTGTGTGTGCAGTATTCAGTGTGTGTAGTATTCAGTGTCTTTTGTGACATACTTGGCTGCCACCCTGACAGAGATTTAGGAAAGTTTTGCTTGGGACAGTGGGAAGTGTGACCAGAAAGACTTTTTAGTGCACTTTTATAATGGCTGGATGTATGCAATGGCTATGCTTGCTACCTGGTAGCTTGCCCCAGGTCGTTGTTAGTTTAGAGTAGGTATATAGGCATGTTGTGCCCAATTTGTTGTTATTAGACAAAACTTTGAAAGGAACTTGTAATTACACAAACAGTAAGATAGGGTGAGCTGAAATAGCAGCAGCAAAATGTTTAGGCCAGATTTCTTATTCCCTTCACGTTCCCAGTGGATGTGCAAACCTGTGGGTGTGCAGACTTGTATGTGGGGGAGAATGCTTCATCTGCCTACATGGAACCAGGTGGCAGAGTTTGTACACAGTCTGTGTGCATCCCTGCAAAATTATGGAGGCAGATTGAAAGCCGTAGTAGAAAACAGTCCTTTGATGTTTTGGCATCTGGCAAAAATCCTGCTTTCAAGCTCAGCCAGCTTTCACTAGTTGGTGCCAGCAGCTGTGTGAGATCTGTCCCCACCTTCATGGTACTCAAGAGGGCTAGAAGTTCCTGTGTTCAAAGTGGTCTTTTTGTCTTGTTTCCACGCACATCAAAGTGAGAATAGCCTCATACTGTTGGGCTTTGATTGAGTCACCATTGTCAGGCCTGGCTTGTCCCTGCCCCTAGTCCAGAGCTGTGGCAGTCAGTAATAGGACGTACTTGTCACCTTGCTGTTTCCTGTGGTCTTATGATTGGGATTAAGTTCTCCTGGGCATACTGACAATAGTGGTTGTTCCCTTCACCTCCGCCTTGCATCTGCCTCCCTCAGAGGCAGAATGTGTCATGGTATTTGTTATGCCTTTTGTAAGCATTTTGTTTTTTCCTTCCAAGATTAGACTGGTCCAGAGACATGAACATAGGAGAGGGAATATACATGCTACCAATATGCATAAAACAGCAAAGCCCCAAGGTGTAGATGAAGAAGAAACAACAAAACAGAAGTTTTTCACTGATCTGTGGTGGGATCTCTTGTGTAGTGGAGCGAAAAGGATTCTACATCCTTCGACCAGCCAAAGTGCTGCGTGGTCTTTGTTCTGTAATTGCATGGTGTATTGCAAGGCAGTGGAAACTGGGGAAGGTCCCAACAGAACATGGATGAGTTTTTTGGGAGCATGACGGTAGGTTTTTAGTGAAGAACTGGGTTAGAAACTGAGAAATAAAAAGTAGTATCAAAGATTCCAGTGGTTTAAAATGGTCTTATTCCTGTTGTGCTCCTTACGGGCTTTGTTCCACAACATTTGGGTAACATTACTAATGTGATTGTTCCTATTGAGCTGCTGTTCAGGTTAATAGCATGATGCACATCCTGATGTTTGCAGGGTTAAAGGTCTTTGTTTCTATTATGGAAGTCCAAATACACTGTGTGGCTGGAATCTAATACTCTTTCTGCTTGTTTTAGTAAAGAGATGCTTAAAAATAATAGAGGGAAATAGGTCAATGCTGAAGGTAGAAGGTGAGGAGGGAACACAAAAATCTCCCTTTCCAGTGGGAAATAAATAGCAGCTGTCTTTAGGCATTACAAATCCGTATGGATTGGATAAATAAGCCTTTGCTTGTTGTCACCTGCTGAGAGAAGGAACTTCATCTTGACATTGGAGAAGCTGTGGGCCCTCAAGGCTGCATCTTCAGATCTGCTTTTACTTTCCAGTTTCCCTTCCTTCTCAAAATAGGGAGGTAGTGTAATTTGCTTCAGTCATAGCTGATTGTTGCCATTTGACACACATTCTCTGTCTAGATGTTACTTAAGAACAGGGAAAGGCACTTACATTTTTGGGAATAACCACTGTAGGATCATCTTACGCAATGCAGAGCCCTATCTCTCTTACCCAAGTACAGAAGCAGACTCCTCAAAACAGCTGTGACCCTTTCCCTTTATCAAATCTTCTATTTCATCAGGTGATTATCTCTATTACATTATGGTCACTCTCAGATTTTTCATTTCACAGGGTAAGGTATTCTTATGCTAAGCAGTTCAAAATGACAGAGTAAGCAAAAACTGGGGACACAAGTAATTGTACAGCCAGAACCAGCCACGCTTTCTTAAAAAAGTATGTCAGTCTGTTAGCATATGGCAGAGCTCGTGCTGTGAAATTCATTTAACACAGAGATAGTAATTGTATGTTAATGAGGCTCTTTGCATGTTCAATTATTTCTTGTGGCATAACCCCCCCTCCTCACCTACTCCCCTTCGAATCAGTTGGGTGCTGCATTTTGACCTCTATAGTAAGTGCCATCGGGGGTTACTATTTCATAAACTATTCTTTGACTCTCAGAAGTGGCTTCTGTAAATGTTGTCAGAGCTGTGGAATTAATTCTTGCTGGTGTATTGTGTGTACAAGTGTAATGCTACAAAGCCATTGTTGTCTTATGTTACTTAGTAAATGAGGGCTACAGAACAGGTCTCCACTAGTCAAGTCGTTGTCAGAGTTTCCTTAAGCAATCTCACAAGAAAGTAGCTGTAAGAACAGTCACAAGGACAGATGAGAGAGAGAGGAGTGCTTCTGGGAAAGATTAAACTTCATGCCTAAATACTAATGAGCAGCTAATGTTAGTTCTCCTATGTGGAAATATGTATCAATTGATTACAGATCTGGTTTTGCTAGAAAGTCCTTGCTGGTCAGTGCAATCTTATTTTCTGTGTTGTTGTTCCATATTATTCTTACAGACTTCGGAAGAAAGAGGGTAAACTCTCACTCTTGACAGCACAAAAAAAAAAAAAACAAGAATTAAGCAGTAATCAGCAGAGACTTCTCTGCAGGAGTAAATCTTTATTGGCATCTATTCAAAATGAGTTGCCACTAGAAAAAGAGATGTGAATCAAAGCCATTTCTTTCATCCAGAATTTAAGTAAGCCTTCCACGCTCGGAAACTTGTCTTCCTGGGATTTTTTTTTTTCTTCTTTTCTCTCTTGGGCTCCTTCTGTCATAGATTTTAAAACTGAAAGGGACCCTTGAGATAATGAGTTAGACCACCTATGTTCCACACAATTTTCTAGAATTAATTTCTTCAAGTTCTTCACAGCTGTTGTGGAGCTAGTGTCTTTTGGGTTTTTTGTTGTGTTTTGGGTTTTTTTTGTTGTTTTTTTACTTCTTGATTTGTTTAAATGGTTAATTATAGAAGATGTATCACAGCCCTTGGTAAGTGCTTGCAGTGGTTAGATACCCTATCTGTTCAAAATTAAGTTGCACACAGCAAAGCAGCAGCTAGACAAGTTTAGAATTCAAATAACCTGTAACTTCATCATTCTGTCTTTTGATACCTATTTAGGGATTGGGGAAGGAGCCTGAATAATTGTTTTGACTACTGGGGAATTAGTGTTCCAATCTGGTCTCATGTAGCTCCTGAGGAGCACCCTCCAAAGAGGAGGAGCCTTGAGAATGGCATAAAACCTTTCAAGACAGTTGGGTTTATGTTGCATTTAATATGTCCCTGGTCTGTTTTGAGTGAACTTTTCTTGCTTTAGCTTCATCCAGAGTTATTTGAAATGAGCTGTCTGTAATTGCGTGACCTCCATGTTGTCTTTTTCCTAGCAGTGGCCTTCTGTTAGTCCAGGAGGAAAAAGTTTTATTTGGAGGTTTCTTGCACATGTGGGACTGGCTTGTCTTGTGTTTCAGCAGATTTCTCAGGGTGGTGTGTCAGTTTACTGCTCAAAGGCTTCTGCCAGGCATCAGATATTGTTTAGGTTCTGCTCAGTTGTCCTCCACTGTTACCTTAATTTTAAAAACTCACCTACTTTCTGCTTTACCACTTTGTTTCCTCATGGGATCTGATATCTTTGGCCTCTGTGACTCCTCCCTCTTTTGAGTAGCATAGGTGCCTCTGTCTTGTGCGAACTAATTCTCACCTTCCGACATGTCCAAAGGTTTGACCTCTCTTATTTAGTTCAATAAATATCCTGCTTTTTTAAATGTTTATGGGAATTGTCTGATCCTGGTGGTGATCACGTTTCCTTCTGATCTGCTTAGTAGGGATGGAGGGAGAAGGCAAGTCCCACCTTGATTACAACCTCTATATAAATATCTGATAAAGAGTCCTGAAATTAATTTCCGGTAGCTGATCTGTGAACTCTTTTTCCACCAGATTTGGTTGGTGAGTGGATGAATCAGCTGAATAGATTTGGGTGACTGGTAGATCTCGGTGAAATGATAAAAGAATTTCATTTTCTTTTTCATTTAAATGTGAATGAGCTGTTGGTACAGATGTCACTCAAGAATCTCTTTGTTATTTTAATGAACCTGCATTAAACCATGCAGGAAGTCACAAGGCATTTGTAATTTAACTACTATATGTGAATTTACAGCAGTAGAAATTCATAACTCTCATCTAATAATAGAATTAGATAATAATGGAGGTATGAGGGTAGAAATGCATCTTGGAGGCTTTTAGGTCTATAGTGTAATTTTTTTCCCCACTTTTTGGGAGCACCTACTTTAGATACACGTTTCCCACCCCCTTCCTGTCTCCCCTACAACATGTTTTACGATTTTCTTACGTGATTCGTATTTATTAACTCATGTTCTAGCATCCAGCCAGCTGTGCCTAGACTCACTGTGGCTGTAAGGTGAGCATCTTCTGGTCCTGCTTCAGGCAGCTTCATCTTTCTCTCCTTGCTAGTAGAATTTAAAAAGAAAAAAATGAACAAAAAGTAAGGAAAAAATCCTACTTCTCTGGACCTCTTCTACTTTTGTGAGGAAGACAGTCTGTTTATGGCTTGCTGTGTAATAAACCAGGTTTATTACAAAAGAATTTATTTTGAAAGTGAGGATATACCTTAGAGGGTGTGTCATTTTCCTATGACATCTGATGCCAAATGAAATGTTGAGCCAGGCATAAGATATTAACGTGTCTAGTGGGTGAATGCCAATTCAGAAAGTACTGTCATAAAAATTGATGTCCCCTTCCCTCACAGCATGTGGATGATGAATAAGAAACAATATGGTTTCTCCTGCTTCCTGGAAGTCTTAAGCACTGTCCTTGAGTGTCTTCAGGCAGTGAAGGCTGAAAGTACCTGTGGAAGGTGAAGTACTCTTCCATTTAGGGTACTTGGACAATGGCTCTGGGATTTTCTTTTGGGACTCGGGATGACTTCTTAGCAGGTTCTGCTTATATTGTAAGTTGTATGATAATGATGCTGCATCTTGTTTTCCCAGGCTGCCAGGAGAGTGATCTTGCTTTCGGGAACCCCTGCCATGTCACGGCCCGCGGAGCTCTACACGCAGATCGCGGCTGTCCAGCCAGCCTTCTTCCCACAGTTCCACTCCTTTGGGCTACGATACTGTGATGCTAGGAAGGTACTTCAGTGGGGGAAGTGTCAAACTGGGACTCTGCAAACAGCATATTATTTTATTTTTTTCAACTGAAGTGGTGGCTTTTTCTTTCCTTACTTCTGTCTGATGTTACTTCTTTTTTGAGAAAGTCCCACTCTAGAGTAATATTTTGAAAGCTCTCAACCTGAGAAGCTCTAGGTGTTGCAATGGTGGGCCTGAGACATGGAGGCAGTAATGCTTCTTGTCAAAATCGGCCCTGAAAGCTATGGAAGTAAAAAGCTTTAAAACAAAAAAACAAACAAACAAACAAAAAAAAGCCATAGCTGGGGAAATTAGCCTATTCTAATAAGAACTTGCCCCCAGAGTGTTTTAAATGGGCAGAGTAACTATGGGGCCTTAAAGTAGCTGCAGGTTTGGGCTAATTGACTTAAAAAACCCCCAAAACCCAGTTTCTAGTCTGCTTTAGTGACTGCTTAACAAGTAACGCCTCTGTTGCTTGGGATTTTGAATTGTCTACCTCCAGGTAAGTAAAAAGTGAAGACTTATAGTTCATCTTTGTATTCTGCCCTCTTCTAATTCAGGAAATGGATGTGGTCCTCAGCATATCTTGAAAATAAATTAACTTCTCTTATCTCTGCCAGCTGCTCAGCAGTGGTTTCAGCAGAGTCATTGAGTCCAACCACTGCAAGATCTTGGCTTTGCAGGAAACCAGCATTTGCAGCCATGATGGCAGGTGTCTGCATTACTCTCAACATACGGGCCACCCAGCTGTTGTTGGATTTGCCATCTCTAGGGCTGCTGTGTGCGTTGGAACACACACTGCTAAGAGAACAGCTCTTGCTGCTGCCGCCTGTTGTACAAGGCGGCTCTAGGATCTTCTGTGTTGGTTGCATAGACAGAAAAAGGGGAACCAAAGTTCTCCTGAGTTCTGATTTGCAACAAGAGCTCTCTGATCTGGCTTGCCCTCCAGTTCCTCCAGGACAAGCATGTAGCAGTTAGCATGTGTCACAGAATGGCTTCGCAGTGTGAGTGTGGACCTGTAGTGCATGAACTTGCTTGCTCTGCTTTGTTCTTGAGTAATCCACTTCACTTCTTGTGCCTCATTTTCTGTAAGACTGGGTAATAACTTTCAGCAGAGTGGTTGGAAACATGAAATGGCCATTTCAATGCTCAAAAATATTTACAGAACTGAACATCATCCGTGTATGCCATAAAAATAGTTACAGCTATTTGCAGGGCTTTTGCGTGTGTTTTCTCTGTTTGGGGTAGCTAACATATGCCAGGTTTCCATCAAGAAGATTCACATTGCAATCTCATATAAAGTTCTCAAGTCCCCTTTTTCCTAGATCTGAATGCCCGCTTTTACTTTCATAGCTAGTGTAGTGCTCTTCTATGTATGTCCAAACGTGCAAGATAGCTGAGCAATTCATTGGCTTTGGTACTCATATGCTGATGCCATTGATTAAAGTAAGGCCATTTAGCATGCAGAATGATAGATACAGCGCTTGAGTTCTGGAAGATGACAGCATTCATGTTAGCAAAGCACTGCTTTCCGGGCAGAGGATAAACTTACTGTTTCTCCATCCATAGTAGGAATCATATGGAGGGAGAGGGCCACATCTTCTGCTGAGCTTCATTATCTCTGAAAGATTCCTGTCTGAGCAGTGTCCAGAATGCTTCCTAGAGGGAAATGAAGAGATGCAGTTTAATCTCGTTGGTTTTCTGCAGTAAAAAGGAAAGTTGAATTGCAGCGTGTGAGTCTAAATACATTTGGAGTTTCATAAACCCTTTGAGGGTAAAGTTGTGCATGACTAGCTGTTGCTTCAATTATGAGGCATATGGACCTCAGGTAAGATGTTGAACTGGATAAAAGAAATAAAATTGTTCTGGACGATCCAGGTTGTAACAGTGTATTCTGTGTAAATGAGTTTTCAACCTACAATGAAACTTAGCATGAAGGTCTCAGTCTGCATCAGCTTTCCTTCAAAACCTCTGCAGGGTTTCTAGTACAATTTTGTTTCTCTATTTGACCCGCCTCTACCAGACATTTGAACATTACTGGTCTTCTCAGTGCTCACCTGGGACATTTTGCTACAGTTAATGTCAGTAAATGATAGAGTGAACTTAGAAAGAATTTGGTTATTTAGAGAAGAAGGGCTGCTGGAAATTAAGAGATGTGGATAGTATTAGAGGAAAAAATGGGACTGCTGAATATTGGGTTTGCCATGTGAGTGATGATCCACTCGGTAATGAGTAAATTAAAAGGTGTTTTGATGATTGTAGTTGTTTCCTCATGACTGTAGTATGTCCCTCGTGTTCCTTTTTGCAGCTCTAACCTGAGATTGTGTTAGGAGTTATATTCTCTCTGAAGAACTGTTGTGGTACTTTTGCTGTCATTACTTAAATAGGTGGTTCTTTCTGTCCTGAAAGTGGCAGCATTGTGAGTGGGGATGGAATTGCACAGAACCAGAGAGGTTTTGCAAGGTTTTTGGAGATCTGTCAGGATGAAAGGTGCTATGTAAAAATGTTTTGGTATTAATAATAAATCTGATTGCATTATAAGATTAAAGAAAAATTGACAAACCTGAACCATTCAATTTAAAACTAAAACTTGACTAGTTTCTGTTTGAAGATAATAGATTTTATGACAGAAAATTGCAAATGTCAGACAGATGTGATTAGAAAAGATATAAAATAAAAGTTTATCATTTTGTAATTCAACCTCCCAGCATCTGTACTCTTAAAAATGCAGCAAGTAAAATGTCACCTGCTTATTTACAAAATATCTCAAGTCTGTTTTCCAAAATACATGCTGTGAATTCATTTTTCAAACTGGGTGATGTTGGCAAATATTAAATAATTTCTATCTGAGCACATGCTCTGAATTCGTAAGAGTTTGGCAGCTTCTACTAACACTGTAATAAGTTTACTGACTCATGTAAGATGCTGTAACACTTTGGTAAGAAAATCACAGTTGGAAGCATTTGTTCTGGAATGTTATGGATCAAAGCCAGATGTGTATTTTGGCAAAATAAATGTCCCTCTTTTTTCTCTGTCTTCTTTTCCACGACAGGATATACTAAACTATATTTTAATAATTCCAAAAATAATCATATTTTTTACCACTAGTTAGGTGCAGCACAGAACTAGCATGTTTCCTTGTTTGCAAATTGTTCCAGCAACAGTCACCATAAAAGACATATAGTAATCTGAACATACTGTAGGGATTCTGCCTGTATATGCTTTTTAACATGACAGTAGATAGTATATTGGCTGTTTGTGCCTTTTTCTTTCAGTTATGATGATGTTAGTCTTCTGAAATTAATTGTGCTACATGGACACAAAACGCATGTATCACTTGTTATGGAAGTGGAAAGTGGAAAAACATGGGCTGCATGAGTAGAATGAGGTAGCCTGAGGAGAGTGCCCAGGCCCCGTAGGAGGTCTTGCTCAGCAGCCTAGTCAGTGTTGATCCCTGCTACTTAGCCACCAGCGCACTCAGCAGTGTGGGCAGAGGGCTTACGAAGCTGGGTGCAGCACCAGGTGGGTCCTTCTTGGTTCTGTACATCTGCTCTGCTGGGTCCACAGAGCCTGAAGAAATGCAGAAAGGGGGCACAAAGACTGGGGCTCAGCACTGTCAGCTTTCATGCAGCATGCCTAAAGCTCATAAACCCAGCTAGAATTGAGCCAGCTTTTCACGGACCTGAGGGTTGTATCTGCATTGCACTCCTGGTTTCAGGGAAGCAGAGCAGTAATACCCATATTGGCTTTTTGAGGGCTTGGCTTAGATCCAGGTGGGCTTATTACCTCTAGCTGTATACCAGTGTACTTGTTGACAGACCCAAAGCTTTAACTCTACAGGATCCAAGCTGGCTTTGTATCTAAGTTTTCAATTGTTTCCTGCTTTAATGAACCAGCTATAGATAATCAGATGGTACCATAATTATGTAGGAGTAGATTAAGTCAAATGAGTTTTAATGGTGGCCATAAGTGCCAGAATCTGAAGTCAGTTAATGGTTCACATCGGTACAACATAGCAATAGAATTGCAGATTGTCCTGTTATGCCTCAACCCGAAGTAGGAATGCTGACTTCCAGATATCAGAGAGGTCTTAATCGCCTACGAGCTGTTTGATTCCTTCTCTTTCTGTCTCATAGCATGTTCTCATCCCTGTTCTGTCAAAGCACCATCGCTTAATGCAGTCAGTAGCATGACTAACCTCCTGACTGGTATGATTTATTTTTTGTCTCGTGCACTCTACAGGAGGATGGAGGGTGCAGTGAATACTTTGGAGCTTTTTCCTATTTTACTTCCAGTTCTGTGTTGCAGCAGGTTTCTCTTGGGGAAGGAAAATAAAAGAAATATGGATTTTTAAAGTTAAATCTATTTTAGCAATTAATGTGGCACAATGAGAGTGGAGCAGCAGGTCAAAGGGGTTGGTGCTGAGGTTCCTCACGTCTCCATTATGTGCAATTCAGGAGGGTGTACGTATACGTATGTGGGGGGCTACTTTAGGTTATTGTTCCAAGACCAGAGGTTGTATTTTTGGCTTTTTTTGGTGACACTGCCAGTAAGACTTAGAATTAGAGCTGTGAGGAAGATTTCCTCACCCCCCACCTTGGTTTTCAGTATTATGTGGCTGTATTTCATATACTTGCTTGTGAAACTTCAGAAGAACGGTCTCTCTTTATCCTTTAAGTCAGCATAAAACCTTATTGGTCTCCTGTCCAAAAGAAAGTTGTTTAAAGATGTTTCTTTTGGGCAATGTACCAATTTTGATGCCACTGTTTGTCAGCTTAGTTGTTCTTTCCCAGAGAACAAATGATAGGCTGTAGGGTTACTAGTAGGAGAAGTGATGAGCTGAAATTAATTGAACAGATATATATTGTCTGCACACAGGATCTTGGAGGATAGAGCAGGTTCAGAGGCAAGTGCTTCAAGGAGGAGTAAATGAAGGGTTTGTTCAGAGGAGCTTTGAAGTGATGATGCTTTGAAGAGGCAGTGCTTAGAGTGATGTATTTTGGGCCACAATTTATTTATGGTTTGCTTGAGTCTGAGCCAAACATGGTAATGGCAGAAACAGAGTATGTCAGGAAGCAGATCAAGAGACAGGTCACAGTGGAAAGCAGGCAATTTTGACCTGGCGTTTACTAGGTATGTGTCGTGGTTTAGCCCCAGTCAGCAACTAGGCACCACACAGATGTTCGCTCATCCTCCGCACCTGCCCCTGGTGGGATGGGGGAGAGAGTCAGAAGAGAAATAGTAAGAAAACTCATGGGTTGAGATAAAACAGTTTAATAATTAAAATAAAATAATAACAATAAATTGTAATGAAAAGGAAAACAACAAAAGAGAGAGAAAGGAACAAAACCCAGGAAAAACAAATGATGCAATTGCTCACCACCCACCGACTGATGCCCAGCCAGTCCCCAAGCAGCGATCGCTGCCCCCTGGCCAACTCCCCGCAGCTTATATACTGAGCATGATGTCATATGGTATGGAATATCCCTTTGGCGAGTTTGGGTCGGCTGTCCTGGCTGTGCCCTCTCCCAGCTTCTTGTGCACCTCCTCGCTGGCAGAGTAGGGGAAGCTGGAAAGTCCTTGACTTAGTATAAACACTGCTTAGCAACAACTAAAACATCAGTGTTTTATCCCATTATTCTCATGCTAAATTGAAAACACAGCACTATACCAGCTGCTAGGAAGAAAATTAACTTTATCCCAGCCAAAACCAGGACAGTATCCACCCCTTATTCTATACCACCTACATCATGCTCGGGTCCCATACTTTCCAATATGTTCCAATTAATCACCACCTCTTTTCCTGTCTTTTAATATATACGCACAGATATCATTCCCTTGGTCTATGGGCCATCTGTCTAAAATGTCTGTTGGGTTCATTTAGTCCATGACTTTGGGCTCCATCTGTCATAATAGTCTTTCAAGGCGGGAGAGATGGTGTGTGGTATTGGATTGTTGCATGCTGAAGTCAGTTCTGGTTCCGTCACCGCTGCATTTTGCTCAGTTTCATCAAAGTTCATTCTTCATTAATGTGGGTGATTCTTACTGTAATATCATTGATATGGCATATAACAGGTATAGTAGTAATGACATACAGTATTACATAGCAATTAACATCATACAATTCAAATCATTGACTATTCTCACCCAAAATCAAATGCCCTTGAGGTACACATCAGATTTCCCCATCCTTCCACATCACCCACCATCTGCACCCAGGTCCTTGAGCAAAAGCAGTCCCACAAATGGGTTTGCCTTTGCCCGAGGCAGGAGTAACCCAGACTGTCTTCCCCAGCATATTTTTTATGTGCACTACAGGGACTTTATCCCCTTCTACAATATGTAAAAGTTTTGATTGAGCAGGGCTCAACTGGCAGATCCCCTAGTATTGACTAACCAGGTGGCTCTTGCTAAATGTTTGCATGTCCCAGCACCCATTGCTCTCAGTGTAGTCTTTAACAGTCCATTGTATCGTTCGATTTTCCTGGAGGCTGGTGCGTGATAGGGGATGTGATATACCCACTCGATGCCATGGTCTTTGGCCCAGGTGTCTATGAGGTTGTTTCGGAAATGAGTCCCGTTGTCTGACTCAATTCTTTCTGGGGTGCCATGTCACCACAGGACTTGCTTTTCAAGGCCCAAGATAGTGTTCCTGGCGGTGGCATGGGGCACAGGATATGTTTCCAGCCATCCGGTGGCTGCTTCCACCATTGTAAGCACATGGCACTTGCCTTGGCGGG